AGATTTTTCTCTCCAGGTATAATCTCAAAATGAAATTCCAATAATAGAGTTGGGCTTTCTTCTGCTTTTAGTTAGGAGACAGGAGGGTGGCTGCAGGATCCCGGCACTGCAGTTAGGTTGATCATCAAAAGCACTTATAAGTAGATATAAACTTGAGATATAAACATTAATACATATGCTTGTTATCCAAACCTTGTTATAACAGAGGGTATGACTCGTCCTGCTGTTACAAGAATAAACTATTAAGGTTAATTTTAAATTGTCAGGCTTGAGACTGCTGTCCCACACTCACATTCAGGTAAGCACCCTAACCTCATCTTAATTTCACTCTGGGTCACAGACCAGCTTTTACATGCCCATGTTTCCATGAGATGGGAACTCTGGGTCACAGGTTGGAAGGGAGTTCAGCTGCACAAACTTTCTAGATGTCCAGCTCTAACATCACATTGGGGTTTTGTTGGGTTTTGTGTGTTGGGGTTTTGTTGGGTTTTGTGTGTCCATTTTTTTTTCTGAATGGGCTGATGCTATCACATTGCAAAGCTTTAAATTACGACATTTGTTCCAAATTTGGATTGGTGTTGATGAGGGCACCAAAATATGCATTTCAGCATGCAGAGAGATGAATGAAGATAATGAAGGGTGGTGGCAGTCTGAGTACCTGTAATGTCACACCAAAATCAAAGCTCTTGATTCAAAAAGTATTAAGAACAACTTTATGAGAAGAAAAAGTCAGTCCTATAGAACATGTCCTAATTTTTCCCCAATCCAACCATAGACAATTAATTTTCCAAACCCCTACAAATTGTGAAACAGTGGCCATAATTAGATAATTCCTTGGCAATATTTCCAAGATATGCATCTTCCTGAACAATAACAGAAATAAATCTTCCAATATCCTATTAATACACTTCTTGCTTAAAGTAAAACTCCAAAAATATTAACCAGATATCAGTTAATGGGTGCTTCATAGATCATTGTATGAGCTGAACAGGCAGTGTTTTACAAGTTAGAAACTGTTTGCTCTGCTGTAATGATGTCTCCAACTACTTCAACAATTAAAATCATTGTAGAGATTGTGCAAAGTGTATTTATTACTGCTGTTAATTGGAATGCATGAATCAGATGTGGAAAGTTGTTATCCTGTGAGCTGAACCTGACTTCTGAGAGTACAGTGAGATTTATCTTACAAGGGAAAATATTGTATAAATTCAGACACTTCTCTCCAGTATTTGCTATTTGTGACACACTAAAATTGTCCTATGGTTATTTTTAAGAATTGCTAGTCTCTGCTTTACTCTGTGGCTCTGATTTCTAATTGTTTGTGGTAATTGCCACTATTTTCATCATAATTTGTTCCAAATAGAAATAGATTAAGCTGAGGGTTCTTCATGATATTGAGCACTGTCTGAAAACCAAAACTTGTGCGACTACAGCATAAAATTCCTGATAAACAACATCCTTCTGAACTATAGATTCCATTCATCCCCAAATCTGTACATTTGTAAATCGTTGTTACAAATTTGGGAATTTTAGACTCATTAGAATGGAGGGGAAACAACCTGAACCACATTGTAATCTTTTTTTTTTTTCTTTTCAGTACTGTGAGGATAATTCATGAGGTAACTTCTACATCTCCCTCGGGTTAACATAAAACATTTCCTCAGAGAATGTTCCCAGACTGAAGGGTTCTATGCAGATTTACACAATGAACCATTCCCGTCTCATTTTACACTGTCACCACAGCTCAGCATATTGGGCATGACACCTGAAGCACATTACTTGATGGTGCTCAATGAAAACTTTCTGGTCTGGCTTACCTGCAATGTAGATGCCCTATAGCCATGGGTCACTTATGTAGGACTCTCAAACTGCCACCACCTTTCAGTACCTTCACTCGGCTTTCTCCAAAAACATGTTGCAACTAAAATAAGAGGTTAGAAAAGGGCAAGAAGGGGAAAAAGAATTTCAGGAGCTGTGAGGAGGAGGTGAGACTATGCTGAACTCCAGTGGACAACCTGGTCACTCTACCTGGGGCCAAATTGGAGCCAGCATCAGATACTGTCATGTCCTGGCTGGTGTTACACATAAACTGGCCTTTTGCATCTTGATGCTTGCAGGTATGTGTCACAGCATTTGTAAGTAATCTCATTATCTCCTGGAGAAACTCTGAAGATGGCAGTACCTGTTTCTGTCCACCAGGAAGATCTTGAACTACTAAGAGAAGGAAACAAGATAAAAATTTATATAGAAACCATTCTTGCAAGAAGAGCACATTAGGCATAAGTCACTGATAGGGCACTGAGGGACAGATTAATTTACCCGAGTCATGAAGACTTATTACATTAAGACTATTACAAGGTTGCATAGGTTGTGTGAAGGCTTCTTTTTTGAGAAACTCAAGGCAGGAATGTTCTTCACAGTTCTCATTTTTTATAGTGTTTATGGAGATAGAATAGAATTTTGTAGTAGATAGTTGGAACAGCTAAGAATTCATTTTAGTCGTGCATTTTTCTAGATTTCATCTTCCATTGTAGTTTCTTCTACTTTATAATTGCAGTGCTGTTTTTTATAAGTGCATTAAAATAGTGTTGTCATGATCCCTTGAGTAACTTAATGACTAGATTTTTGAGGTAACTGATTACTGTAATTATGTAATGCATAGTCTGTGTACAGGAAACCTTATGCATATGACATACATCGTAGGTGTGTTGAGTTACACTTCCTTTATATTTTTTTCCTTAGTAAAATGCGGCTTTTCCACTAGTTTAATACTTTTGGTGAAGAATATGATAGAAAAAGTAAAAATGCCAATGTATTCTCAGATTAGATTTGGTTGGTTGGTTGGTTTTTCTATCGGGCTTTTTAAAATCTGGAGCTGATATATAATATTTTGTAAAACTGTCTCAATTATTTTTTAAAATTTGCATTATCATAATGAATAGAGTATGCTTACTTTTTAAGAGAAAAAGATGCTAATCCTTGTGATTACTAGGACCAAAATTGAAATGGAAATTTAATGTGAATGAATTATTGATAGAAACAAAACTATTGAGATTTTAAATATAGAATTTCATTTCACTAAGTTAAAGAGGAAATATACCAATTTAAGTTAGCTTTTTTCCTCTGCTGAACAATTCAACAAGAACTTGAAGCTTGGATGTAATGATAAACAGTTAATACAATTGACAGTTTTTACTACATTCAGATTAGAAGCTTGATCTGCCTTTTACTTTTAGTCATTTTACTCTGTTGAGAAACGGACTCCAGAAGTAGATGTCAACCTTCCCACAACAGACTCCCAGTCTTTTTCCAGTGGCCAAACCATCTCAGCTGCTTCTTACCCTCTTGTCAAAGCCTTCATTTTTTGTTTCATATTTCTCAGATGTAATAAAGAATATACTGACAATATAAATGTGTCAGTACTGTATTTACAGATTGAATTAATATACCTGGTGTTGAGAAGGTGAGAACACCTTGTTCTGTAAATCCAGACACATTTCTTTATAAATAAGCACAAATGCAGGATGCAGATTAATGGCCTCCACTCACTGTTCTGGGCTTCTCTCCTCATTGAAGAATCTAGTGAAAGCTATGGATGCAGATGGATGACAGACTTTCACTCCATAAAGCAGAGCAGGTCTAGAACCATGATCTAGATGAAGAAACTTCTCTGTGGCACTCAAGTAGGATGGAGGCCGTGACAATGAAAGCAGCTAGAGAAGGTTTGGCTTTCAACAGTGTTCTGCTAGACAGGCTGTTCTGCTTCATTAACCTTCATCATTGTTCATCATACAGCTGGTCACTGTCATAATTTGATCCCATATCTGTGACCAACACTAGATGTAACATAACAACAGCTAGTTATATGGAGCAATAACCCTTGGATTAGTAGGTCGAGAGAGGTTCTTCTTCCACTCTACTCTGCCCTGGTGAAACCACATTTGAAATTTTGTGTTCAGTTCTGGGCCCCTCAGTTCAAGAAGGACAGGGAATTGCTTGAAAGACCCCAGCGCAGAGCCACAAAGGTGATGGAGGGAGTGGAGCATCTCCCTTATGAAGAGCAGCTGAGGGAGCTGGGTCTCTTTAGCTTGGAGAAGAGGAGTCTCAGGGGTGACCTCATTAATGGTTATAAATTTGTAAAGGGCGAGTGTCAGGAGGAAGGAGCCAAGCTCTTCTCTCTGATGTCCAATGACAGAACAAGGGGCAATGGGAGCAAGTTGAAACATAGGAGGTTCCATGTGAACATGAGGAAAACTTTTTTTTGCTGTAAGGTTGACAGAGCACTGGACCAGGCTGCCCAGAGAGGTTGTGGAGTCTCCTTCTCTGGAGACATTCAAAACCCGCCTGGACGCGTTCCTGTGTGACCTGGTCTAGGTGATCCTCCTCTGGCAGGGGGGTTGGACTGGATGAGCTTTTGAGGTCCCTTCCAACTCCTAACATTCTGTGATTCTGTGGTAAATACTTTGTTGTTTGGAGTGCTCTCCTAGAATAGGGTTGAAGACTGTATAACTTTCTCCATGTTAAAATGGTTGCAACTAATTGATCTATTATTGATAGACCTTCAAAGCAGTGTGAAAGATAATAGTTACAATATAAGACCTCTTGATGTCTCATGACATGTGCTGTTTGCCTGTGCTGGGTTGCATGATCCATTCCCTTCAACTTGGTTACAGTTGTAACCAGAGAGCCACAGAGCTTTCCATCATTCTAGGTAGAAATATAAACAATTGGACAAACAGTGGGGAGGTTAAGACAGCTGGCTATCTCATATCTCTGAGGAAAAGCGTAGGCAAATCTTATGGATATAAAATTTTAGAACTAATTATTAAATCCTTCTCTTATTTGTATGTTCAGGAAGAACATCATCAATGATTTTCTACATCTTTTTCTTCCTAAATATAAGGTGAGCTGGGACTGGGGCTAGTCAGATACCATCAGGTCTGCTCAACTTCTTGCACAGCTCCACAAACTACTCAGGCAGAGGGGACCAAGGCAGCAAGATGTTGCCACCAGTTCTTATTGTTTCAATAAGTATTATGACTATTGAGATTGTTGTTGGATTTATTGGAAATGGATTTATTACAGCTGTTAATATCATTAACTGGATCAAAAGCAAAAAAATTTCTTCTGCTGACATGATTCTGATCTTTCTGAGCACATCAAGATTTATCTTGCAGGTGACCGTAATGATGCATATTCATAATCTCTATTTTGTGGATGAGTTAACATTTGCTTCCCTAAGCAAAGCTTTTGAGACTGTATGGATGTTTGTAAATCATGGCAGTTTATGGTTCAGTAGCTGGCTTTATGTGCTCTACTGTGTAAAAATTATCAATGTCACCCAATGGCTGTTGCTTCAAATCAAGCTTAGAATAGCTAGGATGGTCCTGTGGCTGCTTCTGGGATCACTGGTGATCTCTTTTGGGACTTCTTTTCCTTTACTATGGATTAGACACAGCACTTACTTCTGCAACTCAACAGGGAGCTGTAGAGAAAACAGCACAGCCTATAGCACTGGCTGGGATAATTCATATTTCAACCCGTTGCTTCTTCATTTTGTAGGTTGCATTTTTCCTCTAGTATTATCTGTGCTAGCCTCAGCCCTATTAATTATTTCTTTATGGAGACACACAAAGAAGATGCAATGCTACATAGATACTTTCAGGGATCCTTTGACAGATGTTCACCTAACTGCCATTAAATCCATTATTTCTTTCTTGATCTTATATCTTTCCAGTTTTGTAGCTCAAATTCTGTTGATGCTATCAAGTCAAAAAGATACTGTGAAAATTGCAGTATGCTTAGTTGTAACTGGAGCATATCCTTCCATACATTCTATTATCCTTATCATAGTCAATTCAAAACTGAAATTAGCATTTAGGATCCTTTGCCAGAGTTTTAAGTGCCATTTGGAAAATATGGCTCTAAGCTCCATATTATAGCTTGAGAGAAACTCTTTCTAGTAACAAATCTGGAATAAATACTTTTATGCATGTATTGTTTCACCTTTTTTTTCTTAGTAACTTTCATCTTTCAAAGATTTCTGTGATTAGGCCTTCTTATCATTTCAGAACATCTGAAGTAACATGCATTTTTTGCCTTTTTTTCTACTCTGCACTTGCTCTCTCTCTTATTCAATAGAGTGTGAATAAAAATGCACTGAAAGGAAACAATGCACTTAAATAATAAATCAAGTACAGGATGCTTTGCGATTTCAGATTCTCAATTTAAGACTGACAATTTGATGATATGTTTGAATTGATGAAAATGGAGCTAAACCAATGAAAATTTACAGAGCTCATGAATATCAGTTGTCTGCTAAAGGATCTTTCACTTGAGAAGCTTAAAATCGGTTGACGTGTTGTACAAGCCATAGGTGGTGTGACATACAAACAGAATATGCTTCTAAACATGAAAAACTAGCTAAAAGATAACTTGAGAGAAAATTAAGATTTGGAAACATACAGCTAATTAATGTAATTGAATTACATTCTGAATCAGTTTTATTTGTGTTAGGATTTCAGTATGTATATAACAATTTAGTGGTTAAATACCCCTTAAAAACTGATCCTTTTGTTCAAAACATATTTTATGTTCATATGTTTGGTTTTTTCAAAAGTGGATTACTAAGGCGGTGACTGCAATGTAGATAAGCGTAGGTGCATAGGTTTACCTGTCCTCTGTAGAAAAGCTGCTTCTTGAGTTGACCATTATGATCACAAATTTGCCTTTTTACATGATTTGTTGTTTTGAATAGTTGTGAGTTATTTCTAAGGCTGTTCTCTTTTAATATTTTATGTTACTATGAAGTTTCACATGAAGTTGATGAAATAAATTCAACAAATCCTGTCATGTTTTATCACAAATGTGTTAGATGATTCTACTCTGAAGTTCTCAGCTCAGCTGAAGTATTTTTGTATGCTGTATATCCTCACTGTAGGAATTTAGATAATGCTCGATTATAAGTCACTGTGGTGAGAGTTTCAGTCCCATCTATAAAACTAATGAGCAGGGTGATTCACTTAGTCTTGGAGTGTACTGGCTTCAGTGTTTGAATCATTGGAGTAATACTTTTATAAAATGCTTTGAAATCACTATTTAACAATAATAGACAAAGGGTGAGTATAATGCTTTTAACCGATATCTTAAAATATTGTTTACAATGAAATACATTTTAATAGGGGGCATAAATGAACGCAGTGTGTAATATGGAGTGATATGATCATTAGCATGTTTAAAAAGCGGGATCAAACTGCATAGGAGGAGAGGAGGATGATGAAATTCATAAACACAGCGTCTGGAGGCGCACTACAACGTACTAGAAAACTAAGACTACCATCATGTCCAGTGCTGTCCATCAAGAGAGACCCAAAACCCCCTCAAGAGCCCTGCCCATGTTGTTCTGCAGGGAAGCAGATGGGAACCACCATGCTCCTGCCACAGCACTACCCTGCTCTCCAGCTGCATGCCCTGCCAACGTGGGACCAAGATTAGAAGACTCGCACTGTGATATCTCTTTTAGTCCCTTTTCCATCTGGCAACATCATGAAAAGAAAGCATCCTGAAAGAAATGAGGGATTATTTGATGTTGGGTTATTTGGGTATTTTGGGGGGAGGTGCATTATTAATTAGATTTGTTGGTTTGTTTTTTTTTTAACCTGATCAGGAAGCTCTGGTAAAATTCATTTCCCCAGTGAGCTCATTTCTCTTTAAGTGTTTCCAAACTGATTTCTGGTAGCAGACTGAAGGAAAGGGATCAGAGCCAAGTATGAAAATAATGACTCCTGCTCAGCTTTTTCAGTGCCTCCTCACCTTCAGGAGGGTGAGATCTGAAGCAGGAACAATGATTAATAAAATATCCTTCGGTGCTTCCAGGGGAGAGGAGGACAAAGCTCAAGCACTTGATGTCTTTATATTGTATTGATGAAAGTTTTGTTACACACAGCATAGAGTGAGATAGATGGGTACATAAATTAGAATTTTAAATGGCTGAATTGGTAAATAAATTATTAGTTTTTTTATTTTCCTTTTTTATCCTTCCCCCAAGCTTCAATTTATTTTCATGTCTTCTACCACAGTAGATACAGTTTCCCATTTATTTTCTGATCTTGCCCTGCTCTTTGAATTTCAACCTTTCCCTTCCTAAAATCATTATCTGTATTCTCTGCAGACCTAGCTTTCTTTCTCTCGGACATTTTAAAAAAGCTTTCTGATTATTATTTTACAACAAAATATCATGCACCAAGTTATAGCAGGCTGGTATCTACATCTAGTTTATCCCAGAAAGCAGATAAATAAATCTGATGAATATTTTGGAAATTACTATTTTTTTTGCATTAAAAAAAAACCTACAAAAAGAACTTTTTTATATGTTGATTGAAAATAAGGCTTAGTTCACCAGTACATTTCCCCTGGAACTTTTCAAGGTACTTGAAATGTAGACAAAATGAATGGGAAAGTGCTGTCTGCAGTTTGTATAAGGCCAGTAACTATGGCAGCATGAAGATCATTGTAAGGAAGATGAAAAAGGTGATTAGTGAAGTTGTTCATACTGACTACATGATAAGCAAGCCTTCTTTATTCCAGCTTTTTATTTTTTAAGTTCAATGGTGCTTGCTTTTCTGGGTCAGAAGTCATCACATTTGTCTTTCCAGGAAAGGTAATATTTTGTTGTTCAGAAATTAAGAAACCTCTGATTTCAATCTCAGTAGCATTTTCATGAAGTTGGCAAATTTCTCCCTACCATTCTTCCAGCATGTGAACCAGGAATGAGATCTACCACAGACAATCTGAGCTTCAACTGCTGCTCTGCTTTGTCATGTCTTTCCTTCTGTCCAGTTTAACCACAGGCTGTATCTGACCAAATCAGCAGCTGGGTGGTGGATGTGAATTCTGATAACTCTAATACTAATATCTCTCTTCTGCTAACCATGGAGTCTTCCTTTTTCTCTCTGATATTTTGGTGTCCTCCATGGTGTTAATTACCTCTCTGTTGAGATATGAAAGGCAGCACTGCCAGCTCCAGGCATCCCAGAACAGATGTTCTTATAAATGCCACTAAAGCTCTCATTTTCTCTGTTGCCAGTTTTCTAACAATCATCATGAAGTCTTTGACCTTCTTTGCATCTGACAGCACCATGGTCTTAATTTATTCTGAATAATTTTGGTTAATCTCAAAAGTAAACTGTCAATGAAGACGCCACACTGTCCACATCTTTTTTTGAAAAATGACTTCCCAACTTTCTGCAAGGTCTGGAGAAAAGTTCTACCGTCAGTTATAATAGGATTATAACCTGGGATTACTTTTATCTCTATTTATTTATTTTTTATATATTATATCTATTTATTTATTCCCTTCTCTATCATACTGCTCAGCCTTCATTTCATTATTAACACAAGGACAGTTTCTTCAATGTTACAAACTACTTCTCAAAGCTAATCCTTCTTCCCCTCAATATTTCTCATCTTGTTTGTTTCTTGTTTGAGGACATCAGTATGAGAGGTCATTGAAGCTTAGTTATGTGTACAAATAATACTGTTCTTGAATTTGTCAGCCAAATTCTTCACTGAAACACAATTGGTTTCTGAATCAATGTGCAACTGGTTTTGATTATCTCTGAATATTAAAAAAGAACCAAATTAACTGCATGTTTATATCACTTTTTAGCTGAATGCTTCATTGTTTTCATACTGCTGTTTTTCCTTCCCAGTACCCACGCTTTTGAAATAGCTCAAAAGAACTTTACATTGGTCAAAGCAATCATAATGAATATAAATTACTGGGTAAGACACAATGGAAAAGACCATGGACACTCTTAAAACCAGAATTCCTAACACTCATAAGCACTTCAGAAATCATAGGCTTTTGTCTTATTCTTAGAACTTTTTCTTCATCCTGAGAGGCTATATCTCTTCTCTAATATTCAGTCTATCTATGTGTGAAAGGACAGGGACAACATTTTATCATCATAAAACACAGTATAGGTGGTGGCTACAATGTGGTTTATGTGGGCTTTTGAGAAGGGAGAGAAGCAAGGAGAAGTCAAGCTGATCCACACCATCTGCTTCAACTGCTCTCTTTTCGCAGGTACAAAACCCAGGACAATGATGCCTCCTTCCAAAATCAGGTATTTCTGAACTGGGATCCATGTACAGAATGAACCATTGCAGATCATGGGGTTTTTGCTCTCCCAGGAAAAACAGAGGCAAACTGCTGAACAGGAATAACAACTTGATATCATCATCCCTTGGTTGCCTGTTGGGGAGGAGGGGAGAAATTAAACCCTTTCTGGCCTTTAGGCACTCAGGTATGATATTGTGATGAGATTATGATGGATGATTGAATTCATAAATTAAAAAATGGATTGGTAGGTGATTAGACTAGATTTTTCATCTTCTTCCACTCTCTCCCTCCCTTCCCCCTTGTGTTGTATTTGCATTTCATTTTCCCTACTTTTATATTTTATTTTCTTTTTTTTCTCTCTCATTTGAAGTCTTTTTTTCCTTTCTAGAAAAAAATTCAACCTTTAATTCTTCATTTATCACCCCTTTTCCTACCACTCACTCTAAAAATCTTGGTTGTTTTTGCTGCCTTTGTTGCTGTTGTTGTGAATGAATACTAATGAAATCAAGCTGGGTTCATTCCCATATTTACTTTATTCTAATAAGCACACATTACAAGACAGCTTGTTGGTTTTAGCAGATTTATACTTTTCTTTTGTGACAACATGGCAAACAAAATTCCTCCCTTTCCTTGTGAAAGTGGTTTTTTTTTAAAAAAGAAAAGCCCACATGCTGAGACATTGAGACATTTGAACTTTCCCTTTTAAATCCCACTTCATTCAACTCTGCTTTGTTGTCCTTTCTCTATCACTTGCTTTCTCTTACCCCACATGCTGATCCATTTTTCGTTTACAGACTGCTATCTTTCTATTTTCTTTCC